AAAAAAGGCAACAATGTGAAGAAATAAAAGGATAACTAAACCCTGGAGGAGAAAATCCAATAAAATTAAATTTCTGAAAGGGTAAAAATCAAAGGGTAGGGACTTTTGTTGGTTTGCGCCTTTGAGACTAACTTGTGCAAAAGCAGTTGTAGCACAAGCTTTCGTAGACTTGGGCTACTTCCTCAGATGCATGGAGTGCATCCGGGCAACACTTCACTCCATGCATCTGAGGAAGTAGCCCAAGTCTATGAAAGCTTACGCTACAACTTCTTTCACACAATTAGTCTCCAAGGTGCTACAAGATCCTTTTGCATCCCATTTTACTGTGCCATCATATACGACAGGACTTGGGCATCCATGGATTTTGATTTCCACAGAACCAAACCACAGCGGATACAAAATGGCCCACTATATAGCATAAATATCAGAATTCACTTATACGAACCATTCTTTTTGGTGCATTGTTGTAGTTTATTGAGTACATTGTTTATTAACTACAGATAGTGTACCTTTCCCTGGAAATTATATAGTCTAGTACATTTAGAGTATTACTTGATAAATGAAATATAAATGAAGCTGCTTTGCTTTGCTTTGCTTTGCTTTGCTTTGCTTTGCTTTGCTTTGCTTTGCTTTGCTTACTCTTTTGGAGTATAGGCTGAGTCTCCCTTATGTGAAATAATTTGGGACCAGAAGTATTTTGGAAATTGTAAATAACACACTGTATCGCTTGTGAATGCATGCAAAAGTGCATGGAAAGTCATGGAAACATGAGGAAACAAGTCAAAAGTATAGGTTCTGGCTATAGCTGAAAAAGGTTGAAAGACAAAAAAAGCAGACCATCGAAAAGTGGAAGATGCCTGTACTCTTTTGCCAGGGAGAAAACAATAGGTCTAATAAGGCCATGTAAAGTCTGGCTGGTGCTCACTAGGCAAGAACACACTGGCAACCTGTTGGTGCATCTGCTTCGGATTTTAGTCTGAACTTTACCAATGCTATCAAAGGTGCTGAACCACCTGTCCCAAAGTTTAGGCTGAAACCAAGCATGGGTTCACCATGCTACTGCAAGACGCAGATCTTCTTTTGCATGCTAGTTGTCAGAAGCAAGGTCATGGCCAAGAGAGCCTCTGAGGATGTGCAAAGAGCTCTCCCCTGCCAAGAAGCAACTGCATCAACCATTATCCATTGGACTCAGTGGAAGGGGATGCTGTCAAGGTTGTGGGGTGCAATGTCGACGTGAGATTGCTGAAATTCATCAGCTTGGTGCAAAAACTAGAAGGAGAGTTTGTTTCCACTAAAACCCTATATATATATATATATATATATATATATATATATATATATATATATGGAAATGCAATCTGATGACTGACTGGAGAGCCTGCCTCATTTGTAGCAAGGGTCACAAACAGTGCACCATTTTATTTTAATCCTCTTGCCTTTGCATTGGGGCTTTCGACAGAAAACCGAGACACGCAAAACATGAAACAAAGTACTTTTCCCCACGAAAAACAGGAAATGTGATATTTTTGGCGGCTGTTTGGCGGTCCTAAAAACCAAGCTGCCCTTTTGCAGGGACTGGAGAAAGAGTTTCTCTTTAACTCCAGAGTTTCCCTTTTCCACCCAACTCTCAAAGAAGGGCCTTCCATGGGAAAACCCCGGGAAGGAAAACAAAAAAGACTATATTATGAGAATAATCTCTCTCATGCGTTCCAGGTTCCTTGTTCCATAACAAATGCAACCGCATCTCTGCAAATTTGGTTGCTCACACCTGAATAAAGATGGAGTCCACAATGCAAATGTATTCAAAGCACATTCAAGGCATGCAGAGTTTTATCTTATTTTATCCTGGGTCTATTCGCATGGGTTATTCACACTGATGAGGATGCAAATCTTTTTTTAAAAACTTGGGGGGAGGAAACCCAATATCGATTATCCCAGGTTAAGTGGGGAGTTTTTGGAAGTCCCCCCCCCAAAAAAAAGAAAACTTAATTGGATGCATTTGAAATGCATCTGGACAACAAAGATTCAACCCAGATTCAACCCTGAATAACCCCAAAGTGAAGTTAGGATGTTGTTAGGGCTGAGATTCTTTCCTAGCAGTATTCTCTCTCTTTGTTGTTGTTAGCTGCCCTTGATCCTATGGATCCTATGGATCCTATGGATGAGAGATCACCAAGAAGACCCTCTACCTAGTGCCCTTTTGCATTGCATGCCTCTCACCACTAGGCAGCCAACAAGC